GTAAGCCTAACAGATGCGTGTAAGGGCTTGCGTTTAATTAACGACTTCTATATTACAATATATTGTGTTACTGCAGTGTCTTACACAATTTTAAGGTTATATATCTGATCATTAATATTCTGTCAGGTCCTTCTACGACATCTACGTAGGCGAATAGAAGAATAAATTAAGTATTTGATAGAGTGTAGACATATTGTGAGATTATAATATAAGAGCTAGGTGCTTGATATTAGAATTGTGTAAACACTGTAAACCATATGCAGTAGGAATAAAAATTAGATGATAATATACGAGTAGGATATTTATACCATTATTCTAAAATGGTAAAATATACCCGGTGACATCTATYACGACTTAYGGGGATGCAGATGTTATTTTCCTTTTGATTTCTAATTGGTCTTGTTGTACCATTGACATATCATTCTACGATATTATAACAATAAATAAAACAGTAGGTAATAGGCAATAGCCAATAAGTATCAATAGCTGCAGTGGATTTGGAATGAAAAATTAACTTTAATTGGGATGATAACAAGAGGARAATCAAGTGCACGAAAAAATCTTTTGTAATCACTAATCAGTTATGTGTCTTATAAATACTCCTAAGACTTACAATTTTATTGTAACCCTGAATTCTGAGGTTTCTGGGCCAATTGTATGTGGTATAATAACTATATGATATACTTTAAATGTTTTCGTCTTTTGATGATGCTCACAATTTACAATATATTAGTACATGCACAATTTTATTTATCCATGATGACTATTAGATTTAGYGTTTACCGAGACCAAATTKTATTCCAGCAAGATTAATATTTTGTTATCAGGTACTACTTACATTTTTTCAAACTTAAAATGTTTATAAGAAAATAATATTTTGAATGGAGATCTAAGATCGGTAAAATAAGTAGTTTGTAATTWAATACAGTATTAATTTATAATTTCTATTTAAATAGCTTTGTATTTTTAATATTTTTATTTTGTAGAGATATCTGGCGGWACTGGTGTTCAATAAATCCTYATTTCTTACCCAATTTATATTTAGCGGATTATATGAAAYTATATTATGTACTATAATAATTACTAGCTGAACCCGTRCACTTCGTAGCCCGTTAAAAGTCATACCTCTTATATTTCTCAAACTGTGCGTTAAAATYGTTTTCTGTKATCATGCAAGCAGTATATTTTTATAAATATAGATAGATAACGGTTAAAATATACCAAGTAGTAATCTTWCAACGATATTTKATTTAGTTTATTATTATGTAAATTTATTCGTTTTATCGAGAAAAGTCTGGCAATTCGAATATTCAATTGCAGAATGGTATTTGGACCTATCACTTTTTAACTTAGCCTATCTTCTGTCCATAGGTCTAATATTATATATCTCTGTACCAAATTTCATCAAAATCGGTTCAGCCGTTTGAAATGCATAAAGGACAAACAGACAGAAATCCATATATATATAAGATTATCTTATTAATTTCTTCAGATGTACATAAAGTGATTAACATATTTTATTTGAATTTTTTAAATGTACCTATATGATCATATTATGTTGGTTAAATCTCTACTATAATTATTATTAAGGTTTTCTCATACATATAAGTCTTATTTGAATATAATTAAATTTTCTTTGTGTAATAACATTTGATATTTATTTATACTCAATGTAATATATGATGTGCTCGTCCCTATTATACAATCTTATTGTTCACGCTAAGAGCAACGTTAGCCACAATTAACCATTAATTAGTTTTATAAAAATAAGTTTTGACTAAATCTGAGTTCATATATAACAGAACAATACTGTGTATTTCTTGGATGMACGATATGTCACTCTCATTTCCACGCAGACATCAAATCATCATCGACAGACTACGAATTGGCATTTAATGAACAAAAAGGAACAATGGATATGCACCTCCTGTAACACCGTGATCACAGTAAAACATCTTTTAACTGAATGCCTCCTCACAAAAGACGCCAGACACAAACTGATGTTCCCAATAATCTGTGTGAAATACTTGCACCAAACGAAGAGAGAACTTCATCACTAGGTATTAGAATTTCACAAAGAGACCAACACACAAAATAAAATAGCATAAGCAAAACATAGAATATCACACAAAATGTAAACATATTTCTCTTAAAACTTATTGTATCAATTTTTCACCTATTTATAATTAATTATTTTGTAAAAATTAAGTAAACTTTAATATGTATTTTGAAACGCCAATAACCCCCGTAGTTGAGGCGTATTTGTTAAATAAAAAATAAAAATATATTATGCATATTAAATTTAAACATAAAAAAAATTAAAGATAATTCTTGACACAACCACATAGGTCGTATAATTAACATTTATAAATGTTAATATAACATATTTATGATACATTTCAGAATTTCAACCAATAAATTAAAAAAAAAAAAATAGTTTAAAGACGAACTGTATAACCAAGTTTTAAATTATAGTATAAACAATATTAATAATATGTAATAGTTTACAACATGTTTCGTATCACAAACATGTTTCAATGTTTGAGATATGAGTAGTGAGTACCAATATAGTCTGGTATATAGGTATTAGATACATTAAGGTATCAACCCCGTATCTCCGGCACAACTATAACGTAACGAAATAAATATAATATTTTCATTTGCAATATTTTTTACACATAATTGATCTTGGTTATTATATGCGATGGTTATACCTACGCACCGTCGTAGGTTTGTACATTTTTATTTCGTTAGTTCACGCAATATCTTCTTTCGTGCTTATTCAACGAGGTGTATCGTAATAAACCCGCGGGAAATATTGGTACACCGGATCATATTATGTTTTTTATCACTTTGATATAAGCATTAATGTTTGATTGATATACATAGGCAAGTGCTCGTTTTCCGTTTGATTTATTCAGTCATAAGGGAATATATATTTTTGTAAAAAATAATAGCATTATTATATTATACTGCATCCGAAGACATGAGCTGATGAAGTTCCACTTGCGCATATTATATAATATAAATATTATTGCTCTTTAAATAGCATCGGTTCTCCTGGCCTTTCCAAAGATGTTATTCCCCGTATAATAATGACATTAAGATTTTTAACGAATCTTTGGTAAATGTTATTAAAAATATGTTACAAACTATTATATAGTTATTATTATACCTATTCAAATCAAAATAACAAGTACTTCAAAGATCTATATACTATATTGTACCTACCAAACAGTTTTGGGTAAACTCATTCTCGGGGTTGGTAATGATATATCCAGCTGATTAAAATGAAAACATATTTTATATTACCTATATAAAATTGGTGACCCTAAACATTTTCTGGCTATCCCAAGTTGAAAATCGCTACCTGCATAGAATTTAAAGAATAATAATCAGTGACGAAGCGAGAATTTAAAAATTGGTATTTAGGGAGGGGTGGCTCTTAAATTATAACATTTAGTTATACTATAATATCAATATGCAAAAATAAAATAAAATGTTATATACGTCGTGTGGATAGAAATATGGAATATTTTTCTTATTATAGGTATATAGGTAGGTTGTTATAGGAAATATTAAGTATTAGCTGCAGGCGATCGAACTTTATCGAAATGCTCAGGGAGCTAATCCTAAGTCAAAATCAAGTAAGTACTATTTCAATCATTTTTGCTGATGTTTTAAAAGTAAATTTATTAATGTCCATCTAGTTTTCAATAGTTTGGACAGACTATTATAAGATTTAGAGGATATTATCATATAGGTTGGGTAACSTAATCTACAGTTGGTGGGTTGGTACACACCTGTCGAGTATACGAGGACAAGCAGCAGTGTAGCACCCTGTGTGTATGTGTGTGTGCGCGTGATTGTATATATGTGGCTAGGTACATAATATTGTAGNATAGAGTTTAATGAACGATTACAGGACATAAAATGCAGTCTAGTCTGGGTATAGTGTAATGAATAAAATACATTTTGCGTGCAGGGAATTATTAAGATGTAATTTAAACAAGTAATATTGGCTAATCTCTAATATACCAATACGACTAAATACGAGTATATGTATGAATTACTCAATCGTTGTCAGAATAAAATAATATAATTTTGAGTATTTCCTAATAGATACTGACTATGTTATAGTGTTTTATATTTAAACGATTGCCTAATATTATCTAAGTTTCGATTTTTCAATTATTTAACACTCCTACGCATTCGACTGTGCGCGCATTACACCTAAAAACGCCGAATATCATATTATACTATTTTTTTTATACACAAAAATTAGCAATCGTTTCAAGTTAAATTATTATACATTTTCCATTTAATCAAATTTATCAAACCAATAAAACCCTTGTTGATAGCAGAGATAAATCACTTAAAACGCAACATTATTACAGTAGGTATTTTTGAATAATATGTTTTATCCACTTTTATAGTTRTATGCATTTAAAATAAGTTTAGAAATGTATAGTGTAGTGAACAACAATCCTTCGGCTCATTTGTTAWCTTATTAAAATTAAACTTCAAGTACATAAAGTATTARTTAATATATTTATAAATTATTAGTTATAAAAAATAAAACTTTTCTTTCAATATTTGATACCTACATATAGATATTTATTACCTATTTATTACCTATTTATAAATCAAATTAAAAAAAAATATTCTGCTTCACATTGTTACATGAAACTAAAACTATAGATACTCATTAAAAATCAAAAGTTTATGTGCAGTTCACMAGTAAATYTACGAAGATGAAAGATTAAGGTAATATAAAAAAATGTTAGAATATTGCATAACCCATGTTGATTTTCAAAAAAGTTATTTTATCAACCTGCTGCACATACATTTAAATATCATAGTATTATAGTTTAAAATTTATTACAAACTAGTTTATATATTGATGTACAACATTAAACATCATTTCATAATAATTATTATTTTAATTGATAGTAATTAATAATTATACATATACAATACGTTAGTTATAGTACATATAAATGATAAAATGCAAAAAAAAAAATTAACTTAATATAAAAAAGTAGGTACCTTAGTACCTATACTATTTTTGGAGGAAATATCGACAAGTGTGACATAATTTTACCATTATGCTGTAACACAGTAATCACAATAACTCGAATCACAAGGGAAATAAAAATAAATTCATCCTGCCTCGGCTGCCTCCTATGTATTATTCGAGTTATGTACATACCTCAAACACAACTTAAAAACACTTCAAGAGGCAAGAAAAATCTTCGTGTTATCGAGTTATCGAGACTGTATTATAATTATAGACTACAGACATCCGTTGCCCCAGCACCCACACCATGGTACTTTTTCCGTACCCTCGTGACCGGTGATGCTCAGCTTTCGGCGGCAAATTGTGCTSGTGTCACTCTCCGCATCCTCGCCACCGTCTGCTCGGGACATGGACCCACCGCGGTGCTTGATTATAGTTTCTCGTCGAAAACCCATCAGAGACGTCCTCCGCCTGCCCCTGAGCGGCGATTCCGACGGGCCTGACGCAGCCGTCGGTGGACCTGCACCGTCCCTATCATTTACCAGCAATGGTTTCGATTTCTTTGGCGACCCCGCAGACTTGGAGTTCGTGGACCCAGCCACCACCGCCGCAGTCTTGGGTTCTGCTGTAACAGGTGGACCAGCAACAGCTGTAGTTTTTGGATCCGACGTCGGAAATCTGGAAAAAAAATATTCATAATCTTATATGCACTTAGGGAAACATAATGGAAACAAAATAAATGGAATGGTGAAATCACCAAKCATGCTCACCCCCTTCAACAATGAATGTATTCAATTCCTGATTATTATTAAAATTCATTATTATTAAGTTTACTTGTGTATAATATTTTCAAATATATTTAGATTATTTTTAATAGTTTAAGGAGTGGTATAAATAAGTGAAAACCAACGCCTTTTTTATTGTAAATTTACTATCATAATACGCAGGTGTGTGTTATATATTACACTCATAATATAATATATTATTATAGCAGCTCACATTTGTAAGATCATAATTTCGATGACATTTCAAATAATTAATTATACTGCCATTGTAACTTGAATCGTTCAACCTGGAGTATAAGAATTTTTTTTCATGGTCACTTTATATCCGGAGAAAATATCTTAGTTAAATTTTTTAATTACATTTTTAAATAACAAAATAATCATTAAAATGTCAATTATATAATGTTATATATAACAAAAAAAAAAACACTATAATATGCTGATAAGATTTTATGGGAAATGAAAGATTTATTGGACAAAATTTAAGAATTTCATATAACCAGCTATTAGGTATAATAATATATATAATTGTGTAAGATTTAAGATTGTCTTTTGAAGGTAAACACTAATTTTCTCAAAACTTAGTTTCGGAAATATTTTRTTTTACGAGTTAAAGTCTTAAGTTAGTATAAAATGATATTTTTTATTGATGTAAGTTTTTAAAATTTTTTATTTTAATTCACAGCATATATTTTAATTTATTGTATATAAAATACAAATGTATTATATTGGTATACATTTGTATACATTGGTACACCAACAATGTAGAATATTTTTGTAAGAAACTTTATGTGTAAAAATTGAATTGGTGTTTTGAATGGAATCTTTTAAAAAAAAAAAATGATGACGTGTACTTATCGATCATTTAAAAGTTAACTAATTTCTTTTACATTTTCAGCGAATCAACGTAAGACGGGAACATTTTTCTTATCGACTAGGAAGTGTATTATACTCGTATGTATAAATAAACCAAATAAATATATTTGAAATCACTGACTCAAAAATAATTGAGGCTTCTTAAGGTTAGTGTTACCGATAAACCTTATTCAATCTATACTATATACGGTATAGCTCGTTTGRATGGTGTATAGAATTACCATCAGTATTTCAGTAGGTACAGTAGTGTTTATTRAATTTTACAAGTGTGAGAGAAAACAGGAAGAAGGCATCCAAATGGACTTATTGTCTGTAGATTTTAAATTTAATTAATAAGACCGAGTAGAAATTGTAATTTAATAATACTGTAGTCATCGTTTGTACAGCGTTAGATATCGTAGTAATGAYTTATGTACTATATAAGATTTAATTAAAGCTCAAATGATTGTTATCGATTTATGCGAAAAAATAGTTTTTTAGTCGGACTTTTGAAATGTACAACTTCTGTTGTTTAATATAATATTACTTGTTAATTTTAAGTATAATAATATATTTAAAAAAAAAAACATTGTCATAACTATAAAACTAATTTAAATATATCATTCATCGATTGGAAGTGAAACAAGGTATCAAGAATAAATATTTAAAAGTGTATGTAATTATATTGTATTTGTATTTATCAAATGAGTTATTATTWTTTTTTTATAGCTCTGTAAAATTTATAATATTAAATATGAGTTATTAAGTAACAAGAGGTATAATAGGTATACTGTTAAATGTATTGTCGATTAATAGTCTTATAATTAGCTCTTATCTATCTATATATGAGTATATCACGACTTTACTTTAAAGGGATAATAATTCATAATATGCATTTATGTCATATGTCATATTGCTTATTGTATATGTATACATTATTAACAATATTAACATATAACATTTTTGAAAATCATTTTGTTTCAGACTATGAATTTAAAAACAAAGTTTGCCATTTTAAATCAAAAATCTACATATAGTGGATTTATAAACAAAGTGAATGATATAGAAGCGGGAATAGTACTGTACACGRACTTTTCATTTGTGGTCATTCTTATTTATCACTTACCCTCTTATTCCTAATATTTTATTCAACTGTGTAGAAATGAAAACTGTTAATGTTTTTCAATAATATAAAAAAAAATCTCGGGATTGTATCTATCTAAAATTCTATAACAGTATAATCTATAAATTAATATGAAATATCTTAAACTTTTCCAAATAAAAAAAATACAGTTTTTAAAATAGTTTTAATTTTATCCATTAAAAAATAATCATAATTTATAATCATATCAAGATATTTTAATAATATTATTTAAGTACTTGAATCCATTTTGAACGGATACCGCGGTCATCGCGGTTGCAGTGCTGGACCCGATGACTGCGCCGCCCCCGTCGGCACTTCCGCAACAGGCCTCGTCGCCACCACCGCCACTGTCGGCGCCTCCGCCGTTTTCGCCGTGGTCGCCGGATGACGCCGATGAGTCGGCCATTTTCAAGTTCAACTTGATCTGAGATCTGAACGACTTTCGTCGGGCGATGCTGTTCATCGTGCCCGTCTCGTGCTCGGTCAGYTGCCTGACGATGACTTTGTCCGACCCGAACCACAAGTACCTGGGCGCACCGAGTGTCAGTCGGACGCGCACGTAACGCTCTCCGCCGGCCGTCCCACACCGAGCAGTCTTCCTCTCCACTCCTCCTGCCGTGCGAATAATACAATAATAGGTACGTTCCGCACTTAAGCCAAAGAGCTATTTATGTAACGGCGAAAAAAGCGTTACAATATGAATATTATTACATGTTCATGCACGTGTATAATATACAGGATGATTCACCGAGCATCTCCTCACCCGTCCAGTTTCCCCACTATCATAATGTAGTTTATCCAAAAATTTGCAGTTTGGAATTCTTAAATATGCTTCAAGACTATTTTTGTATTTTCAAGATTTTTGTACTATACAAAACAATATAAGTATACCTCCTTCGTGGTACAAACTTAGAACACTTTACAGATATTTAGTGGTTCATATTTTTGAAAATAACTCTAGATGTACCAACTCTATCTAATTTAAAATTCAAACGAGTATAGTTTTCAGCTAATCAAATATTATAAAAGTCTTTAAAGAATTTAAAAAATATATAAAATTGATATAATATAAAATATTGGATCATGTGTTTTTTTTATACTTGGACTTTTTTTACAAATTTTAAATGTTGATAAATTAATATTAGTTACTAAAATTTTAAAATTACCATAGAGTYCATATTACTATAAAAGGCCTATATTTATTATTTAAAAAATACTCATTCAAAYTTTGATTTTGAAACGTCAGCATTTTCAGAAAAATTATCTAACAATTAATTTAAAGTAGAGAAGGGTAGCCAAGTAGAGAAAAACCCCTTGGTTTCATTTAAAAAACGAAACTTTATAATTGAATAATACTTTATAGATTTTGAATAACTGCATTAATGAAAAAAATGAAAAGAGGATGAGTGATGTGCTTGTTTATTCACTCTGTATATATTTACGYAGATACATATAGATAAATATTTATAAATATTAGTCTGTATTATATTTACACGAAATACTGTTTTTCGTTGTTTATTAACAACCTTCTGGACACCTGAATAAATTTAGATTATATTATTACTTTTAAAATACACATTAATACGAATCACAAAATAGTTTTTATATAACTTGGTAATCTACGCTCGCATAAGTAAATATTATTTTTTTTAATTACCTATATAGGATATCATATAAAAAATTTATAGTTTTTTTGAAATTAGATTTTTGAATTGATACACCTAGGACCTAGATATAAAATATTTCACAAAGGATACAAATATAGYAATTGGGAGTAAATTTATGATTTTTAAAATTTCATTTGCTCGAGAAAATAATTTTAATGTGACTTTTGATGTTTTTTACATTTATAATTTGATCAATTAGTCCTTGATCCACATTTGTCTTAAAGTCAGCTCACTTAAATTCAATATAATTGATATTTACTATCCGTTACTCTCACGCTCCTATAAGTACCYATGTCTTTTAAATAAATCAGTATCATAAAATTTAGAATGGAAAATAATTTTTAGATATATTAATATATTATTTTATGGTACCTACTATTATAAGTTATAATACGAGAATATATATATATATATATATTAAATACACGGAACTTAGCTTATTGAATTATTTCCGCTGCCGTTTTCTATGCTATGCCAACTATATATATATATATATATATACTCGTGTCTCTTTTATTTCAATCATCGATACCTTAAATAATATACATGAAACGAAACTGTCGGATGATATTTGACACAAAATAGTGTTTCGTGCGTTAACAAACTTATAAATAAATGGTAGGTTTATCATTCAATACGAATTATAACAGAATCCCGGAAAGAGACAGACATAAACTAAATACACAACTCATATATATATATAATTAAATGTCGAAATCAGACGAAGGAATTATAAATAATTGGGTTAAACATATACCATATTTAATTATGTTATGTTCGTTTTACGCGGAAGTTCGTCGAAATAACGTTTTTATCGCCTACGTATTAGTAGTTGTAAAACGTAAATAATAAAACACTTTGTATAACATACGAATATACGAGTACTATACGTATAAATAMAAAATTTTAGTTAAAACTTAAAAGCAAAAGCAAAACTCAAAAAATTACGATAATAATAAAATATATTGTAGCCATAGACCCCTCCTGCGGTCTTAAGCTTTTTCTTTAGTAAATTTATAGATATCTGATATTTATATAGGTACATACTTTATAAAGTTTACAAAATACTAGGATAGTTATGAATACAAGAACCATTGGTAAATGGTTCAGACCTTTTTAATCTGGGCCCCCCTGAGGACTAAGTCTGCGCACGTCTGTGATTGTAGCTAAAATTCAATGAAATTTCACGATGTTGTTTTGCTTAATTTCTTAAAGAGTAAATGGCATATATAAACAACGCGATGAACGAACAACAATTATAWGAAAATATACTGGTAAAATTATAAAAAGAACTGCAGAACGTMTTAAATTGTTATCAAATGGCACGATGTTATCCATCGGAATTTCAGAAATCAACCATCTGACGTTACAAGAAGTCACCCTACCTTTGCAGTGATTTTAGCTATATAAGTGGGTAGACGGAGAGGTAAATCCTATAATATTGCGTCCATCCGCAGCAACTCGACTGCTATAAAGGTTATATGTTATTTACGTCATATTGAATAAATTCCAATACATTTCAATACACTTCAACCGGTGCAAAACTTGCATTGGTCCAGTAATCATAGAAGCAAATCAATTCATATTCAAAGCATAGGCGCAACTAGGGGGGTGCTTGGGGGTGCTTCAGCACCCCCAGCCTTTAATTTAGCACCCCCAGATCAAAAACACCAAAAATGGAAAAATCATATGAAAAATTTTTTTTTGTTTTACGTAAGGTTGTTTAAATATTGAATGCCTGTTTCATCTACATAATTTTAGCWCCCCCAGTGTTTGGCCTCTAGTTGCGCCTATGATTCAAAGCCACTATCATTTCGCTTAAGCATCATTTTTTATTTGATTATATACTTTATACAAACATCAATATTTATACTAAAATATTATTTTATTGAAATTTAGTTTATTATCTCATTAATGATGACACGATTATAATTGATAACAGTGGCGTAGCCAGGATTTTTTTT